GCTACAAATATAAAGAGGCCCCTGCAGTGTATGTTTTGTGTATATGCCCTTGAAGGCTATCCTTAAAACAACACCTACAGTCATTAGGCCTGTGAGCTGAAGAGTCCCAGTGCCAGGGCAGCCACCTCGTTTGAGCTTCTTTGTCTCCACAAAGTGGACAGGACACATGACAAGGAAAGGCCTATCCAACTTCACCCATGTTTCTGGGAACGAGACGTGACAGGAAACCCCACCAGCTGAGCTCCCTGCCCCGCATCATACCGGAGGGCCCAAATAGGAAGTGAGCCCAGAACTGCGGCCTCCAGGTCTGAGGAAGTCTCCTGGTGGGCCTGGGCTCAGCAGGGTGGGAGAGACAGGGAGGTCATTCTCTTTCTCCAGCCTGTAGGAGGTGCTTCAATCCAGCAGACCTTCAGAGAGGACCCTGGCCTCTGCCACAAAGGCAGTGCAGAAGCAGGCCTGTCCTGGGTAGGGGCCATCTAAGTCCCGACTCCCTCTCCCAAGAAGGGCATGGTCCAGAGGGCTCCTCCCACTTCCCTTAGGAGTGAAGGGCCTCAAGCTAAGTGCTAAACTGTCCTCCCAGCAGCCACTAGGCCAGTCCAGGACCCCACGCCCTGCAGCCCTGACCCTTCTGCCTGAAGCTCCTGCCAGCTCTGGCTGCTGCAGAGAACCCACTGGATGGCATCCCTGCCCAGGTGCGAGCTGGCCTAGGGCCACCTTCCAGAGAGCCTGAGGCCTGGGGCTAGGCCTGGTTCCCACCGGCTGAAAACACAAGTGACCACAGGAGAGGTGAGTGTGTTGCTGGGCCCTGCCCTTGAGGCCCTCGCTGAGTGGTGGAGACGCCCAGGCAGACCAGGGAACACAATTTAGTTCCACCCAGAAACCAGGGAAGGCTTCTCAGCAGAGGTGATGCCTGAGGACGATCAGGTTAAACCTCCAGCCCTCCCTCAAACCACATGGAGTCCCCTTCCACTCTCTGCTTCTAAAGGGCAGAGGTGTGAGATGGCACCCAGCAGGGGCCCTACTCTGCCCTCAGACATGGATTCATCATGAAAAGATAGATGCAGTAGAGTCTCCATGGGGCAGGCCTCTCCCCACCTCCACGCCCTGCCATCTGGAGGCTCAGGGCGGCCACCAGGGGACACTCCTGGGCACCCCAGCTTCCCTTCTCTGCCCCTCCCTGGGGCCACACCCCACAGCACTGGCCAAGCTGCAGCCTGGTGGGTGCCTTGTGTCCCTCCATAGTTGTCCCACGTCCCTTCCTGGCCTGCCCCCTGCCCCACCTCTTCTCAGGCCTACTTACACCAGTCTGCTTCCAGTCCTATCCAATGTCTTGCTCATGCTGCCTTAAAGCCCTGTCCCAGCAGCGCCATGCTTGGAACACCTGCCATCCCCTACCTCATCCATGGCACTTTCTCTCTGCGCTTTGCAAGCCCACCTCCTCCCCAACGCCTTCCCAAAGCTCACTGACCCATCTCAAGAACCGCTATCAATGCCCAGTCTCCCATCGCTGTCTCCCCTACACCCTGCAATTCATTCAGCCCCAAACACCCCTAGGAAATGATCTCTCACTCCACACTGTCCCTTTTAAAGTCCCTGTATAACCCCCACCTCCTTCAGCCCGCTCCCCAGATCACCCCTTCCCAAATCGCTGTTTTACACTTGCCTCCCTTTCCCATGCAGCCGGCACTTAAGCTTCAGTCTGTATTAGTACATAGCAATTGACACCACGATCATTAGCAGGATTCTGATGCTTGGGGTGCCTTAGATCAATGACACTCTCAATACATACACTTTATTATCATCATAGCCAGGATTTACTGAGCTCTCCATGAGCTGGGCACAATGTCAAGGTCATTACATATGTCCTCTTTAACCTTTGGAGCAACCTGCAAGGTAGATTCGTTTTATTACAGATGAAGAAACAGACTCAAAATTCACTGTCTTAGTGCTGGGCATAGAAGCCAC